GTGTGTGTGTGTGTGTGTGTCAGTGTCGGGTAACACGATCATTTATTCATCCACGCAGAAACCCCCCCCCCCCCCCTCTCATGTTCCCTCTGTCACACTGAGGTCAAAGGTCACGCGTCAACGTGTCACAGGAGGAAAAAGCCAAAAAACCTGAAACAGTCAAATCTACATTTTGAAGTGATACCGTGACGATTTGACACAGTGCATGCTGGGATACCTGGAGTTGAGCTCCCGCAGCAGCGTGGGCACCTCCAGCTCGTGTTTGGTCACGATGCCGAACGAGGCCTTGACGGCCACGGAGTCCGAGCCGCTGATGTTGAAGCCAACGTCGTTGATGATGTGGTTTCCAAGGCGACCGTTGAGGGCCACGTCAGATTTGTCCTCGTAGTTGAGGAGCTGATAAGAAGAGACACCTGTAAAATAACAACATGTTGTATTTTAGTAAAATCATTATTTACTCTGCAGACGTGAGAAGAATAATAATTAAATTATCTCTACGTCGCCCACAGTAAAATAATCAGAAGTCATAAAGCAGCTAGTGATTTAACTGAAAGTAAATCATTTAAATCCATTTGTGTTTTTGCAGATGCAGGATTCATGTATTCATGTGATGCAGTGTTTTTAAAAATACATTTATAATACGAATAATAACCTGAATTTAATCCGGACATTGTTCCACCTGCACATTATTTCTCATCTTCTGGAGTTTCTCCCACAGATAAAAATCCAAACTATGAAATGTTGGAATATTTCAATTTGATGGAGTCGCTCTTCCATTAAAAACATTTTGAAAAAAAGAGGATCCTCTAACAGATCCCGTGAGATCTGTCGTGACCCTCGTTACCTGCTGTGATCTCCTTCTCTCCCACCAGGATGTCCTTCAGGGAGAAGGCCGTGGAGGCGAACTTGTTCTTCTTCCACAGGTGCCTCCTTCTCTTCCTGGTGACCAGGCTGAGCGGCTGGTACCGGTCGGCCTCGCTCAGGCTCGGGACGGGGATCAACCTCCCGGTGTCTCCCACCTGCTTCACAAAGTTCTTGGTGGCTGCGGCGAACATTTCAGCGTTGAGGCACTGAACTCACCGCTGGTGTTTGTCGACCTCGTCTCAGTGAGGAACCTCAGGAGTTCTCTTTCACGCTCGTGGTGAATAATGCAGGTGGTGTGTAAGACAATATGGGACGAGGTGTGTGTGTGTGTGTGTGTGTGTGTTCACCTGCTCACTGTGAACCTGCTGCTTCCTGTCACCTGATAAATCAGCTGGAAAAACAAATGACACTTTTCAGCAGCTGTTTTAGTCGTGGGTTTAATTTGTGCTGCTTCAGAAAACACACACACACACACACACACACACACACACACACAGAAGCACGTTACATTTTATGACTTTACAAACGATGACCTGGAGACGCAGCTTGTTCCACTTGTGATACATGAAACATCTGGTTTCTGGTGAAAAAAACGTCTGGATTGTGATTTTTTTTTTTTTTTAGACATGTCTCTGTGGTTTTTCTAACATCTCATGTTTCTTCTCTGCAGCTTTTTTTACTTTGGATAACGTCCACCTCTCTCTCTCTCTCTCTCTCTCTGTGTGTGTGTGTGTCCTGTGGTCACGCTGCTGTCTCGTCCACATGTCCACAAATAGCCTGTATGTTTTACGTCCCACATGTGAGACGTGGTCAGTATTAGCTTCTGTACAACAAACTCTCCCTGTAATTTCACTTCACGGACAAAAAAAACCTCCAAAGTTTGACTCAAGGACGAATTTACACTTGAGTCACGAAGCCTGATGTTCGAACACTTCTTATTAAACAGGATGAAACAGTTTGATTTAAAGCATCTATATGTCGTGTTAGGGTCTAAGAGCTGAATGAAACAGAATTTATTCATCTCACTTTAATTTCTGAGATCTACAACTTTATTTCTTTCATATGATGTGAGATGCCGCCCAACAGTTTTCTTGTTCTGCAGCAGAATCGTTGATGAATTCCTTGAAATGAAACCTATTTTGTCTGTTTGTGTCTCCACCTGAAACTCGCCTGCTGACCCACATCTTCCTCCTCATCTGTTTTCATCGTGCAGACTCATCTGATGTGTTTTCCAGGTCAGAGCTCGTCCGTCCCTGAGGTGACGTCCCGGAGGTGGAGGACAACACAAAACAAAAACATGAAGTCTGTGCCGTCGTCTCCGCTGCCGCTCTCCCTTCACAGAATATCATGATTTCAAGTGACTCTGGCTCATCTGAGCCTCGTTACTGTGACGATTCTGCAGCGTGAAGCGTGTTTCCTCTGCAGAGCCGGTCAGGAAGTGTCGAAGGTGCCGGAGGAACAGACCGATTTGTCATTAAGGAGCGGAGGAGCGGAGCTGAGCCTCTGGGGACGGAGGCTGAAGCAGATGAAGAAGACAATTCCTCCATCAGCTTCTGCACTTTCTTCTTTATGAACTGGATGTTTGAGATCATGTGTCTTTGCCAAAGGTCACGAGTGTCGTGTTTATCTGAGGATTTAATCAAACTGGTTTCTACGTGAGTTCTGAAGTATTGATCACGAAACAACCAAAAGAATGAAGGGAATCGAACCCTCGATCTTCTGATCCAAAGTCTTACACTTCACTTTTCTGTCTCTGCAGTTAAAACAAGTTCTGCTTCATGTTTCATGAACATAAAAAAGTTTGCTTTGAGTCGTCAGGAGACGAGAAACATTTAGTTCTTCAGATCCAGAAAACATGAATCCTACATTTTAATCTTGGACTCGTGGAAGCGGCAAAATCACGAGACGAAAGAAAATCTCAACTTGATCTTTCAAAGAAAAATGAAATATAGCATCATGCAGCCCTCGTTTAACGCAGCCTTTAATTTGCCTCATCTTCTCTTGCATCTGACAGAAGAGGAGGAGGAGGAGGAGGAGGAGGCTGGCCTTGAGCTAAGAAAAAAGTGATGAAGGAGGAGAGTGAGAGTGGGAGGGAGAGATGTGGGGGGGCCCCTGCTGGTCTCAGTTGGCAGTCATCTCTCGTCCAGGAGCCTCTTCCTCTCAGGGATTTTTGGATTTCTCAGTCTGGATGCTGTAGCCCGGGATCGGGCTCGCTCTGACTTCCTCGTGTGTGTTTGCGGAGGCTGTGTGTGAGGACGCTGTATGTCTGGCATCCAGACATGGGCCCCTCGTTACGCTCTGGGATTACTGTGTGCCTGGCCCTCGCCTTGGCTCAGGTGATCACTGTGACCTGCAAGGAAGATACCAAGAAAGGTGAGTGACGGCCTTCCCTCCGGGCTCTGATTGGCTTTCTGTGCTGATACCTGATACAGGTTCATACAAAAGTGGATAAAAACAGGATTAAATAATGTTCTGTGTGTGTGTGTGTGCTGAAAAGAATCTGCTCACAGACTTTACTTTCATAAAATCAACCCGTTCGACATTTTTGGTTCTTTTTCATGTCGCGTGTGGAAGATTTATGTTTGAGCGGACGAGTCTTGTAAACACATTTACTTTTTTTTATGCGTCTGTTTGTTTTTCCCATCACATCCCTGCTTTATGATTTGTTTTCTTCCTCTCAAGAAAAAATATAGGACGTGTGTTTTCTTCCAGATTTCCAGCAGCTGCAGGTTTTTTAAGTTCAAGGTTAAACTCACAACCTCCTTAATGAGGCCCCGTGTTCGAAAGGTGATTCAAACATCTGTGAACTTTTCAGGAAATCTTACAGGTGCAGAAAAAGATCTAACGATGCTCCAAAAAAAAAAAAAAAGTTGAAGCAAAATCTCTTTTTCTCAAAGGTGAAGATGTGGCTGTTTCCTTTTTCGAACACATCTTCTAAAATAAAACATCCCAGTGTTCGTAATTCTGGATCAAAAATACCTCCCCCCTCCCCCCCCCGCACGCTACAGTGCACGCTAAACGCCGCGCACGGGCTATTTCAGTGCGAGGCCGAGGCTGAATGAAGGGGTGCTGAGCGCCACGGCTATAATGATGTGGCCTTGTGGAGGGGACGGACAAAAGCAGGCCACTAATTTTGGTCAGACTTTGGGCCAAAAGGCAGACGAGACACACCCATGCAGCGAGAGGAGAGGAGAGCGTCACTCACTTTCTTCACCTCCGCTCGAGCTGCAAGAACGAGAGCAAACTGGATCCGAGGTTGTTTACGGTTCCGTGAGGTCGTGACACAAGCAGACGTCTTCGCGCGCAGCGTGATCAAAAGTCAAGCCGTGGTTAAAAACAAATACAAATCCTAGATTAACAAATGAGGATTCACCTCTTGAACAGTTTCAGGTTTACGGCTGCAGAGATTTTTTAACGTCTGCACAACAGAATCTAAATAGCTTAGCTTAGCATAAAGAGTGGAATCGAAGGGGAATAGCTAGCCTGGTTCGAACAGGTGTAATCAAAGCAAACTGATTCGTGAACTGCCAACATAAAAAAATGATTTTTGACCCGAAGTCAATTAATGTCTAAATTACAAAGAATGAAGTAGTGAATTTAAACCATTTCGTGATATTTCATAAGACTTAAAGTAAACTGGGGTAAATGTTATTTGGAAACGGCTGCAGCGTAGTCGTTAGTGGTCACTGTTACATTAAACTCCTGTGGCCCTGGTGGTTGTAATCACTTTAACTACAGAGGCAACTTTCCTTCCTCACACGGTTTCCTTCAGTTTGCAGTAAAGATCCAGTAATTCACACAGAAATGGAAAAAAAATAATGTTTAACTGGAAGTTTGTGTTGTTTTTAAGAGACCAAGCTGCGGAATAACGTAAAACAAGGATTATAAAAGTGGAATATAGGAGAAATAAGATTCAAATCAATCTCTAACCATCAGGTTTATTATAATAAAAAGCTGCTATTCAAGGAAACCTAACCAATAATCACTTAAACCGAAGTCACCTGCCTGAAAACATAAAGTTTCGTTGGGTGGTAACTTTTCTAAATGTTCTTCAGAAGCTCCAGTTTGATGTAAAATCAAATAAAATGGGAGTAAAGGTTGAATATTGAGAGAGGAGCGGGAGGCTTCCTCCGGGTGTGGCACCTCTGAGCTCAAATAAAATCAAACCACAAACTTCTGCCTGAGCCCAACGTATAATAGAGCCTCTGCGGTTTCCCCTGAAATAACTCACGTCTCTGAAATTCAGCTTCTCTGTCGGGGAGAGGCTCCACCACATAATTAGTACGTAGGGACGTCACTGAGCCGAGTTTAAATGGGCCTGCAGCAGGTGGCCATTTTTACTTTTGCTTTCTTTTCTTTTTTAGGTTTTCATCCTGAAGACGACACTCGTCATCAGAGCTCTTTTTTCTCTCAATAAGAAATAAATTAAATTCTTCTTTAGAACAAACCTTTCATTCATTTTCTGCGATGTGGTGAAACCCACAGGTCTGATGCTCTTTCACGTTCACAGTCAGAGACAGTGATGGTTGCATGAAGACACATTTATGGGTTTAGTTCACAGCCAGAGGCTACAGAGGTTCAACCACAGTCTAGTCGCTGCCTTGCTCGAGAGCAGCTCAGAGGTGATTTACCTGAAAGTGTCTGAACATCTAATTCTTAAAGCGTCTCAGTCTCAAACCACATCTGTACTTTTACGTATAAATGGTTTATCTCCTGAGGGGAATATTTTCTGCTTTCTTTTAATTCTAAACTAAAAACTGAATCTATAATAAACTATATTTAAATTATATATGTGCACTATACGTATAAATATAGGGGATGATGGAGGAGATTTTTTTTATCCCTTCAGCTGGATACTACACTTCCCATGATGCAGCGCTGTAGCGTCTTCATAGTCTCAGCTTGTGTGGTCGATTCCCTCTCGTCTTTAAAGCTCCACGCCCGAAGTTTCACAGAGTTCCTCTTTTATAAATACAAGTTATTTTCATTCTCCAGAGGCCGAGGGACATTATCACATGACGACTGAAATCCACAGAATTCCCTTTTTAAAGATCCTGAGGACAATCTGTCTGTCTGTGACGTCCTCTCCTGCTTTAAGTTGGCTTCTCTTCATACTTGTTGGGACTCGTTGAGACTCCGAGAGGCCGGAGTTAAATCAGGAGCTGGTGTCTTCATGGCTCATGGGTCAGGGCGGAGGGGCCTCTAGCAGGATTTTGCTTGGAAAGAGTCTCAGCGAGGTCGGAGCTTCAGGACAGAGAAGAGCTTGAATCCGAGTGCGTCCATCGCTCTTCACTAACTTCACCTGTCCATAATCAGCAGATATGTGGTTCACTCCACACAGAGACTTCTACCTGCTGATGGTTCTGATA